TACTCCGTTAACATTTGCTCACAATTGCCCCACATGAGAAATAAGAATTCGGTCAAAGTGATATTAATATTTAAATCTTTATAACAATAACAATTAATTTTTAATAATAATGATAGAGAGGATAAAAATTTGAGGAAAAATTTAGAATTAATTATGTAATTTTTATTGTATTATTAAATTAATTGATATATAAATTTTAAATTTAAAAAATTTAAAAAATTAATAATTAAATAATATAAAATTTATTTTTAATATTTTTAATATTATAATGTAATTTATACGAGAACATCTTTGTGATTTATTAGTCAGCTCTCTTTTACAAATGACTTCTCAAACTAAGTTTGGTGGATGTAAAATTCAAGTCACACTCTCAATATTAAAAAAAATAATATGATTTATATCACATTATTAATCTTATATTTTAATTTTATCTATGATTATTCAAATTCTAACATATTAAAAAAAAGAAAAAGAAAAATCACGGTGCCCTGCCCTTTACCATTGACTGAGTCACATGGCTTATGTGTTAAGTTTTCAATGGATAATATCCAGGACAAGACCTTTTTCTGAAATGAGAATCTTTATCTATTTATTTTCTCTTAAATCTGTCTAGTCCATTAAAGATCCATCTGTGACCTAACGGAAATCCTCATCTACACCGATGTGGCAACAAATTAGTTGACACATAGGCACCGAATGGTTAATTTAATTCTTTTCTTAGAGCACATATTAGAAAGACCATTTAAGAAATCTATATCATGTAAGATAGCTATTTTGTATTCTGCATTATGTGTGTTACATTTTTTTGTAATTATTAATAGAAAGAATTATTTAATATTAAAAAATTCATCTTTTATTAAAAATTATCTTTTATAGATTGGGCATCACTTTTTTAATATATAATATAGCTTCTAATATTTTAATATACCAAAATTTTTTCATATGTGTACCAAATAACATGTATAATAGAGATTAAATTTTAAACTAGTCATCCTGATTCTTAGATGCTAAAATCTGAATAACTTAATTTACCCAAATTTCAAAGGAAAGAAAAAAAAAAAAAAGTCGTTATATATATGGTCTATATTACATCAAAAATAGCTTAGACATTGTTCCATGGCTCTGATTCATCTTTAGCAGGGTTATGTTTGTGTGAATGAAGCCTGAAATTGCATGCTGCAACAGCTTCTCCCACTGTTAAATGTATCCATTCCTGGCCTATATTTTCAATGAAGTTAGACTTGTTCAATTTCTTCATCACTTCAGCTCCAGGGTTGGCTACTACAAGCTACAAAACACAAGAAACAGATCGAATTAGATTCAAAACGAACTTTTCGAACTCTGATTGCAATTTCCCTGCAATGAATAAGCTGGTTAATTACAACATTATGTAGAATAATTTTGGTACCTTGAGCCCCCTTCTATCAGTAGTCTTCTTGACCTCTTCAAGCATGCTTATCCCACTTGTGTCAATGTTACCAACAGCTTTGAACCACAAAAATATAATGCATGTCAGATAGGTAAAGTAGTCTGCTAGATTTTCTAGAACAATATAGCAGGAAAAGAACAACATACCACCCATGTCCAGTATAATGTACTGTAAGCTTGTTTCTCCAGATGATTTCAGCTTGTCTTCCTCTTCATCGATCCACCTTGAGATCCTAATAAGAGTAAGCAGAATATTTGGTCAAATGGAGTAAAGGGTATACTGTTTTTGATGCGGTAATGAGGTATTGGAACTTTCTTAGTACCTTTCTCTTAAGTAGCTTGCATTGGCAAAGTAAATTGGAGCATCAATTTCGAGTATGATAATTCCAGGAATGCTGTTTGCATTAGGGTACTGATCAACATTTCTGTATATCATGGAATTTGGAATGTTTCCAAGCACAAAAGTCCTTGGCCTTGCAACAAACAGAAGCACCCTGAGCAATGAAATCACAACCTGCATCCGAGACAGATAATGAATTGTTGTTACTGCTTAAACAACTATGCTTTTTTGTTGATTCAGATAAACGGAATTGATAAATTCTCATACCGCTATAACCAGGCCTATCTCCACACTTCCAAAAACAACACCAACATAGGCACCCATACAGACGATGAAATCAAATTTGTCGACTTTCCAGAGATGGATGGCAGCATCATAGTCAATGAGACCAAGCATTGCAGCTATTATGATGGAGGAAAGAACCACTAGAGGAGTGTAATGGAACAATGGTGTTAAGAACAGCAGAGTGATCATGACTGCCATTGCCATGACAATATTTGACACTGCTGTCTTGCATCCGGCATTGAAGTTCACAGCTGACCTTGAAAATGGTCCTGAAAATTTCATCCCAATGTTGCACAAATTATAATCAAAATTAGGAGATTAACCACAGTTGTTAAGTTCATGCTAAAGACTAATATAGATGATGCATGTGAATACCTGTAGTAAGATAACAAGAAGTACAGGAACCAGCAATATTCATCATCCCAATAGCAATCATCTCTTTGTTCCCATCAATATGGTAATTCTTAAACATGGCGAAGCTTCTTCCTACTGCAATTCCTTCCTGTTTTCACAAGAACTTGATCAATTTCATTACTGAAAAGAACTATTTCCTGTTCCCAAAAAATCCGTAATTGTGATTTACTCAAAAGAAGAGGATCACATATATATTTCCATTTCCATTTAAAAGAGTGAACAAATGTGGATAATTAAGATTGCTTACAGCAAGAGCAATGATGCCAGTGATCATGCCAGTTTTGATGGCAGTCATCATGTAAGGTGACACGAACACCAAATCCCCAGCTGATGGTGGATTCAGTCCTTTCTTCAGCTGTCCTATCTGCATTAAAAATATAGAAAAAAAAAATTAAAATTACACCCTATGATGCCTTAATTCTTGACGTAAGTTTGTGATTCGTGAGTTATATATAAGTATTACAATTCAAACAATTGATAGGCTAGTGCAGGTAGGTAAAAAATAGAAATTCTACATGAACGAGAAAGTTCGGTAAATAAGTTAAATATAAATGTGAAAGCGCATAAATTTAATGGACAAGTTGACTTTTAAATAGTATTTCATCTGCCGTGATCTAATGATCATTTGCTGTTTCAAAGGGCAACCCGTGGTTTATACTCTCAAGTTTCGAGCTCAATATCCTCATTAACACCTTTAACATATTAATCTCTAACCATTGTCCTTATCAAAAAAAAAATATTTACTTATATATATATATATTTATATTCAGAAATTACTTTTTATTATTTAAATTATATTAAATTATAAAATAAAAATTATTAAATAAAAAAACTTTAATATTAAGACCCATATTACTATTTATATAATTTAAATTATTTTAAACTGTACCATATTTTTTTTAATTGATTAAGTTGCCGTATCAGTTTCACGCCCACCAATTTTTTATCAATGCAAATTGCCCCACCAACACGGCAGGTGGAGAGCGACGATGAGATGGACCCACCAAAATTGGAAGGAGCTGTGTTACGGGTGTGGACTCACGTAGTGTTCAATTATTGGCAGTTTTGGTCCAAGACAAAAGTACCCGAAAGCAGAACAGACCCAACTTTTGGTACTGTTGTGTCTCTGCATTTAAAGGGGTCACGGTTGCTGGATTCAGAGGTAGAGAATCATAAAAATCTGAGCTTTTTTAAAGAAGTCACTCACCACTTGGACGCCATGCTTCTCTGCGTGGGTGAGATAAACAAGAAGGCTTCCAAGGATTACTGAAGTCAATGGTGCCATTGCTGATATCCAAAAGAACTTGGGTCGCTTCTTGCTCTGCGCATGTTGTAGAAAATTAACATCATCATGTAATTAACAGTTGATGGTAGCCTCATCTGATTTAATTGTTAAGAAAACGCCATAGTTTACATTCTCTAATTGAACAGATAAGATTATTAATCCAAAATAAAACGTGTAATCGATATACTTACGAAGTACTTAGTAACCAGGAGGAAAAAGAGGAAACAACAGCCCAACACGCCACTTTCCCATCTCCACTGCGCACATAACAACTGATGTCAGACTATATGTATATTGCAATTAAATACTAACCATATTTTCAAACCTTGACGCAACTGTTTTTTATTAAAAAAAGAAAAAAGAAAAAAAGGAACGTTGTCAATTTTTATTTTAAATTTTTTATTACTGGTTATGTTGAAAACAATCATGACATATAGATAATTAAAATGTTAGAATTGATGTAAAAAATAAAAATATTTTTAATAAATTAAAATATAAAAATATTTATTTAAAGTATTTAAATAAATTTAATATTTAAAATTTCAAGATATTCTTATTTTTATTTTTTTCACTATATATATAAAGAAAGAAAATAGATAAACACAAATAAATTGCTGGACAAATTGGACTAATAGTAAAGCTAATTTTCTCCTCATAATAATGCATGCAACATATATAAACCATGTCTCATATGTGTGTATATATATATATATATATTCTCCCCTAGAATTGAAAAATTAAGATTACAGATTAAAACAAATTGAGGTTAGGTAAGGACCTCATGTGTTTGGGTGAAGACAGAACGCAAGACGGATACAAGATCCGTGGAAGGAGTGAAATGTTCGAGCCCAAGTATTCCCTTGAGTTGTTGCAGGCACACCACCGTCGCTGCTCCTGCCATGAACCCTACTATCGTCGCGTGCGACAGAAAATCCACGATGAACCCTAATCTGAAACCAAATATCCATTAAGATTAATTATTATTATTATTATTTTGAAAATAGGTAATGGAATTAAGATTAATTAATTAATTTAGCCTAATATGATTATGAAAACAAAGATTCTTAATCTTTGTCTGACAGATCGATTGACTCGAGAAGACTAGCAGATCAATCAAGTTCTGCAGATTCCTTAGCTTTGACTAAAATTGTTTTAGTTACAGACACATATTGCTGTTATTAAGACAAAAACATGCAGCAAAAGGACAGGTTTTACTGTAACATTCAGTTTTCATGTCAATTTGAATATCTAAAATGAGTATTTGAAGGAGTTTTTAGACGTTTTTTCTCAAAAAAAAAAACCCCTAAAAAAGGGAAAATAAATATGACAATACATCCTACCTTAACAAGCCTAGTGAAGCTTGCAAAACTCCAGCGAAGAAAGTTGCCGTGAAAGCTAGATGAAGGTAAAGCTTGGGATTCTCGTTGGGATTAACTTCCTTTCCCAGCATGGAAGCTGTCAGAAGTGATGCAACGGCAACAGTCCCCACTGCCAAATCCCTCGAACTCCCCATCATGGCATAAATTAAAGGTGGAACAAAGCTAGAATCTACATTCATAGTATTCAACAATTATTTATTTTGATGGTGACAAGAGTTGTTGGAGGAGAATTGTAAAAATCAGCACTACTTACATAGGCCAAGAATAGGTGGCAAGTTGGCGAGCTTGGCGTAGCTGATGCCCTGAGGGATAGCCAGACTTGCGATGGTGATTCCGGCGATGAGATCCGCCTTGAAGAACTGGAAGCTGTAGCGAGGAGCCCATTCAAGGAAGGGAAAGACATATTGCATGCCGAGGACTAACTTCCTTGACGGAGGCTGGTTCTTGAACTGCCTGAGTGGGTCGTCTGGGAAGAATGTTTCCTTGAGAGAATACTTGAGTGACTTGAAAAATGGCTGCGGCGGAGGGACTGCTACACGGTGGTGAACGCCCGACTCCACCCTGGCCGACGTGTAGACATCATAGTCAGTGTTGCCCATGAAAATGAATTCTTCTGAGTAAATGCGTGTAATTACACTGTTTTGTTGCTAAGTTGAAGGAATTACGAAGAGAAGTTGAGGAGGAGTAGGAGGAGCTGTGGTGGTGCAGGCTGAGAGGTGGAGGTCCGTTTTATAGAGGGAGAATGGTCTAAGTTCTTCAGTGGGATAAGGGACCCACATAATGCAAATTATTGAGATGGTGCCGCGTTTGTCTTAAAATATTATCCATAAATGCTGACAGGTAATGACTTGAGGACAATATATTTATATAATTTATAGTTTATAATTTT